TCCCCCCGGGCCCCGTCGCCAACGTTACCGAGCCCTAGTCCGGCCCTGTAACCGTGCCAAATGGCCATGAGCTTCTTCGACATGCGGCCCGCCTCCCGCCCGCCCGGCCCGCCGCCCAAAACGTCCACCAAAACAGTAATCGTTCGTCCGCGTCGGACGGTCACAAAGGTGACCGTTGCCCAGCCCGGCCCGGGCCAAATCTGGCCTAACGGCCAGATTTGGTCTTTTGACCGTTTTGCCCCTTAAAACGGTCAAAAAACGGCTATTTTTCGAGGGTTTTTTGGTCATTTACCTAGGGGGCTGCTTCTATAAATAGAGGGGGGGTTTCAATTCATTTTCTCACAACAAAACTCATCTATTTCTCTCTCTACTACTCTCTTATACAATCTTATACTATCTCATACTAATATACTATCCTATAATCTTTTGTATTTTCTAATACTTCCAACAAATGGCTTCTGGGTCTGATTATGAAGAGCAACATGCAACTCCTACCGATCCAGAGATGAGTCCTCCTACAACAACTCCTCCTCATCCTACCGGTGTTAATCCTGAATCTGGTGGCGACGAATCTACGGCACCAAGAGCTCCAAAAAGGCCGAGGTCTGATGTATGGAATTTTTTTGAGAAGATAGACGTCACCAAGGATGAACACGGTAGGATCATCTCTCAGAATGCGAAATGTGCGTTGTGCGGCCAGATATTCAAAGCTCATCATAAGAGCGACACCAACCATCTCAAACGGCATATTGAAAAACACAACAAAGGCCAAAATCTACAAGGTGATATCCGGCAGTCTATGCTTTCCCAATCATCCTCTTCAGGTACCCTCGGCAGTTGGAATTATGACGCTGCCCGAGCCCGGAAATGCGTAATCAGGTTTATTGTTCTTAAAAACCTTCCTTTTAAATTAGTAGAAGATGATGAATTTGAAGATTTATTTAGAGATGGTTTTTATCCTGCATTTACAAAATTTTCTCGTCAAACCTGTCAACGTGATATTTTAAAATATTATGTTGAGGAACAGGAAAAAATAATTTCTTATTTTAAAAATTTAAACTGCAAATTTGAAGATACGGGAAGCGAACACAAGGCATTGAACGACCACAAATTTAAACAAATGATAGTGATATGGGGAGAGGATGCTTAGATCGACGACCACAGAACATGCTTAGATCCGTATACTGTACAAGCGGTGATGTGCTTACAGGATTGGTGGAGATACGAGAAGCGAACACAAGGCATCGAACGGATTGCTATGATTGAAGATAAATTTGAAGAGTTGGGACTAGCAGATAGATATAATGATTAGATAATATTCATAAAATTATAATTTTTATTTCTTAGCTTTAAATTTGAATTAAATTATTTCGAAAAAAGTTGCAAATGATAGTGATATGGGTGAGTAGGTGCCAACCTAGTTGGGATGTACTCATCTATTGTGATGCGACGAATTTCGAAATAAATTTATACTTGTAAAGGATTTACCGATTATTAATAAAGAAGTTATTTTTATCATTTTTTGTACTTGTAATTTATGTCATTTCATTTCAAGTTATTAATTAAATTTATGACATTTTTTATAATAATTTATGATTTATGGTTTTGTTAAAATTTTAAAAAAATAAAAAAAATAAAAAAAAATGTTTTTAAAAAAATCAAACCGGGCCGGCCCGGTGTCCGACCGGCTCAGGCCCGGGCCCGGTTTCCCGGGCCGGCCCGGATGGACAGCCCTACCTCAATCCATGTCCTTGTTGAAATGAGAAATTCAGAATATAGTAGGACAAACAACGTTCTAACTTCTTAGCCAAAGCCTCGGTGTATCATCAACATCAATAGCTTTAGATTTAACAAGCATTTTCTATCCAAATATAGATCCTAATTG